TAGGAGTTGACACCACCCAGCTGCTGCAGCGCAAGCGGTGCACGGGCAACAGGTACTCTAGCAGCTTCTCTGCGCAGCTGGCGGAGAGCAGCAACACGACACGCACGCCACATACTTCGACTCGAGATACACAGAGCTGACAAGTTCTGATGCTTTTGATGTGCTCCCTCGGTGTCCAGTGAGCGGTGGCGAGCGGTCCTATTTTCACTTGAACTGAGTATGTTGTAGTTGATGTACGCCACATACAACAACAACCTTATCACCGAAACGACGTGATCGAAGAGCTACTTTACGAGCATGGAGACAAGCGAGACCGTGGAGAAGATGCAGGTGCTGACACCGCAGCAACTATCGGCGCTCAATGAGGCGAAGGTTCAGTGTTGGCTGGCACGAAAATGTTGAGGTCGTGGTGGAGCTCATTTCCTGTTTTTTGGACAGGTAATGATTCGCATGGACAACGAGCAATATCTGCGAGATCACCCGGACGTATCCAAGCTCATGCGCGCTCTGGTACGCGGGATTTTACGGAATCGGCCTGACAACCCCAGCACGTACGCATACCAGTTCTTCTCTAGAGACCGAGCAGCCATTCGCAAAGATCTGGATGCTAAGGAATAACGAATGAACAAACGCATACTCCAAACGATGTATGGAAATGTAAAAAGTTCGTATACACGTTACACCGCCGCACTCACGCTATCACCTCCTATCGCGCCATCAAAATTCAAAGAAGGCAAACGTATCCATCCTGCCCCGCCAGTTGTCGTCGTCCGCGAAAGATTGTCGCTCCGCGTTCTTGATTCTGAGCGTGACATGTCCTTGTATTGTGTTCTCGCTCTGTTATCTAGGCCCCACTCGCTCCTCTTTCATCACGCTGCTCCGTCGGCGGCAACATCATGCTCACAGCAGCGTTGGCCTCTCTTCTCTCTCATGTTCTTCCTATCCGAAGAACGAGGGGATTGTGACCTTCACCGCGCACTTACGCACTCGAGTCGGATACGCTGGTGATCTCGTCGGTGTGATGCGCGCCACCACGCAGCTTCTGCTCGGCTGCATCACGCACAGGCTGGAAGTACGCGTGCTGCATGGCCTCTTTTGCGGTTAGTCGCTCCTGGTGGTCGTAACGCAGTAGCCCGTCCAGGAAGTCGATGGCCTCAGGGGACACCAAGTGCTTGTTCTCTTGTGTGATAAACTTCTCCCACGGCTTCTTCGTGTGCGTGCCCAGGATGCCGTCGTACTGCGGGTCCAGCTCCAAGTCATACGTCGTCAGGTAGTCAAACAGCTCGTCCGTGCCCTTCACCTTTGCGATCTTCACCAACTGGTCGCAATTGTCGTGACCATGGAAGAACGGCTCCTTGCGGAAGATCATGGCCGCGAACATGCAGCCCAGACTCCACATGTCGAGCGAGTAGTCGTACTCCTGCATGTCTACCAGAAGTTCTGGTCCCTTGAAGTAACGACTAGCCACGCGCACGTTGTACTCGCGACCCGGGTGATAAAACTCAGCGAGACCCCAATCAATGAGACGAAGCTGACGCTTCTCGTGATCAATCATGACGTTGTGTGGCTTGACATCACGATGCATGATGCCGTTCGAGTGGCAATAGTCCAGAGCCTTCAGCAGTTCGAACAAGTAGTAGCGAATGTCAAAGTCGCTTAGTGTTGGGTACAGCGTCTTGAAGTCCGTGTTGTTCACATACTCAGTCACGAGACTGGGGGTCTTGGACTGCGGATCACGCACCACATCCAGCAATTGAACGATGTTCACGCCACCCGACAGGTTCTGCAGAATCTTAATCTCACTATACGATGGCAATGGAATTAAAGAGAAATAAACTGGGTGAGTATCAATGATCCAGATATCGACAGTGAGCTCAACTAACGGACTCACCGCTTAATTTTTTTCTTTTTAACGGGTTTGAGGATCTTGATGACGCAGCGCGAGTTGTTGGCCACATTGTAGCCCTCGAACACCTCGCTGTACTTGCCGCGGCCGATCTTGCGGATCACCTCGTAGTTGTCCTGGTCCCTGTACAGTCATAATAAGTTCTGTGAGCTTCCACTCATCAAAGGGGAAGAGGATATCCTTTAATGGCTGGAATCGCTCTTGCTCCTCCAAAGTGAAAGATTTTAGAGGGGGAGCAGGGCGCCGAGGGGGCCAGGTTGGGCGAGAATGGAGTGAAATAACGTACCCCCAGGCCACATTGAGCGTCTCGTAGTCCCAGTATTCGCGCGGGCGCGTCTCGTTCACGTCGCAGTACACGCGGGCGCGACTCATGGCCAGCTCCTCTTGGTCGCGGCCGCTCTCGCTCTGCTGCCTTGGGCTTTCTTTTTTGGAAGGCTCTCGGCGAGCTTAAATGCCATACAAAAGTTAAGTCAAATGACACTCGGATTTTAGTTGGAGCCATACCCTCATTTGGAAACAAAAACCCTAAGTAGAAACTGATGAGATGGTAGTCCGAGTCACAGTCTGAAAAACGGCACGTATGTACATGTATGAAGGGAGGTGAGTGAATATATATATAGACTACCCGCGCTTGTGGTGCTTACCTTCACTCACGAGGAACATCACACCTGATGGGACGTGCTTACACGCGTTAGTTTTAAAAAGAAAGAATCATTAGCCGTTTGTATTGTATGCACTGCCGCAGCGCGCGCAAGGTAAACTAGAGCTCTTGTGGAAGACTCGATGAAAATAGACGTCAAAACATAAATTCAAATCAGCGTTCGATTTACCAAGAGCCCCGCACGCGACCGGACAAGCCTATCTAACGTGTATGCAGGAGACCCACGTATCTCCGCAATCGAGATGAAGACTCCCCAAAGCTGGACGACTGGGCGCTGGAACTTCACTCTAGATTCAAGTCCATGTTGGGGTAAGTAGCTGGGCAAATTCTGAGAGTAAAGCTTTGCCGCTGCTTGCTTGCCCGTGGAGACAAAGGAGGGCCCTTAATGCTCCGAGCAAGCACGTCATATTTGCTGATACGTTGTCGCGATACAACAAGGCCTAGAGTGCTGTGAAGGTTTTGGCTGGCGAAAAGGTTTCGCCGAAACTGCTCTGTGAACCATTA